AAGAACTAAAAATAAAACCCACGGCATCACTTTTCATTCGTAAGTACTATAAAATATATTTTTTCATAAAAATTGCTGTTTGTTTTGAATCTTATTCGGTAGTGACGTCGAGTACTGGTCGCGTGATTGGTCGGTAGTGCAGTGACGCGGATTTCGCCGTCTCGTTCGCGCTGCCGTTGAAACTTAACGTGCTGTTTCGTTCGGGTCGGTAATGCAGTGACGCAGATCTCGCCGTCCCGTCCACGATGCCGTGGGATCAGTTTTTGTTTGATGCAAGTATGAGCGTACCGAATCTACCCTTTTTGTTTTAATCTAAGATCTAATCTCATATTCTTTTTAACCAACGAAAAAATACGGAGAAGGTTCTCTATTCGTTGCGTATATTTTCTTTAATGTATGACCATGCATAACTTTTCACAAAATAATCCGATTTCGACAATTCTTTTTTTTTTATTGGAAAGGGTATTATACCCCGAAATTGGTCACATATGAATTTGGAAACGAAAAATCCGGCAAAGTGCGTGTCGTGCCACGCGCAGTGTCGGGTTCCGTAGTTGCCTATCATCATCATCATCATCATCAGCCTATTAATGTTCCCGCTGCTGGGGCACAGGCCTTCCCTATGGATGGAATAGGGAGATTATGCCATGACCCACCACGCGGGCCCAGTCCGGATTGGTGGGTGCTAACGAGTGCAGATGCAGCCGGGACCAACGGCTTAACGTGCCTTCCGAAGCACGGAGGGGCTCGAGATAGTAAATGTTTGGTCACCAATCCAATGACCGACCACTGCGAAAGTTGCTTAACTTCAACGATCGCAGCCGAACGCGCTAACTACTTGCGCCATCGAGCTCCTCAGTTGCCTATTCCAAAATATATTTGAGCAAGAGTCTTCATTTTCTATATAGAAAATTAGAAAATACAATTAGGGCTATCGCGTATGAATCCGCCGCTAGAGGCGCTAGTGTAGCGTGAGGTCTCCGAAATGTCAAATGTTATTGCTTGTTGGTTGACTACGCGGGTTTATTTCTTATTAAAATAATGTTGTGAATAATTGGTAAGAATTCGGCTTAATTATGGCAAATATGAGTTATGTGGCAATGAATGTCAGTTATTAAAAATTTGAGCTCAGAAAAATGATTATGTTCCCATTTTTTCCGAATAAAATGGAACTGGGCGTCACTGTGGCATGGCCTAGGATATGGTTCTTTTGTGTTAAAATACGATCTAAATGTAACCTTTGATTTCATGTGCGTATTAATAAACTTTAAAAGTTACAATTTAGGACCTCACTCAACGTCATCTGCCAGTGGCGCCATCTGGTGAGACAGAAAACGGTAGCCCTCATTGAATCAATATATGTATCTCAATTGAAATACCTCAGTCAAAGTCACACTGCGTCTCAAACTCAAAATCAATTCGATATCATTATTTTTTTAAATACCAATGACAACCGCCGATTTTTTTTGTTTCCTCCCGACGAGGGAGCGGGTGTGAAATCCTCATGGATACCCTACAGCCGGCTGCAAGGTTATGTCTGACTCTTACTGCTTATGGCCAGAAGAGCCTTACAAGCTTCATGTGAAGTGATCATCCCCAAATAAGGGGATGATGCGGTATACCGGCCTTTTTTTTTTGAGTATGTATGGTGTTGGTCGCAGATGACCTTTACAGCGTCACCGGGTTTTGGGGACGGTGAGATCCTAAGGGGACCTCAAGCCGAGAATTGGCGAGTGCCTCCGGGGGTATTCCAGTCGGATGGAGTCTCCCCATGGGGGGAGTCTCCTCTCCGTCTGGAGCCTCTAGACCACTCGAACTTGAGGGGGTCGGCTCAACTAGAGGGCGTCTCTGAGACTCTGACCTCGGCTCTAGTTAGCCGTTGTCGTGGGGGTGTATACCGGCCGACTGACTAAAAAAACACCCTTTAATCATGCTTATGGGTAGAAGGGCCTTACAAGCTTCATCTTAAGCGATCATCCCCCGAGAGGGGAATATACAGGCCGATCCTTTCAAGTGCTTATATATGTTTTATAAAAACGTAACGTTAGCGCGATTCAGAAGTCGTTGGCGTTAGTACTCGCGGTAGCGTTGTAGAACTAATTATATTTTATTGTGGTTTTTAAATATTTTTTTCTTAGATTTTGTTGCAATGCAAGGTTTTACGCTACAATAACTTCATCTATGTCACTATTATAGTTTTTTTTCTAATGAATTTTCAATAGGTATGAAATTTTTCTTTAACCAAAGTTGAACGACTATTAAAATTAACAAAAATATATCGTAACCGTTATAGTTTTCCTTAAAATTTCACAAAAAACAATATGATCATGATATTTTCTAGGTTTTTCAAGCCAATAGTTTAACTTTTAGAAGACCCGCCGCCCGATATTCGAAGTAAAATAGCACTTTAAAGTCAAATATTTCGCAAACGGATCCCTAAATCGTCAAAAAAAGTCCGAGAAATCCCGAAATAATTTGATAGGACCTATTCCACGATACACCCCACACGATGGGGTAAAAAAAACATACCCAAGTTACCCCAAAAAAAAAATATCTACTATTTTGTCGCCGTAATCGATATACAAATCTTCACAAAATTTCAGATCACTAGTGCTAATAGTCTCCAAGCAAAACTGAGGACGGACAGATGGACATAAATAATAAATAAATAATAAATAAATAAATATTTCCGACACTCACACCAATTAGCCTAGCCCCAAAGTAAGCACTATAAGGCTTGTGTTATGGGCTGGTAACGGATAGAATACATACACTGTACATATATAAGTATATTGATCAACATCCATGACTGGAGTACAAATGCTCGTATTCATCACACAAACATCTGCCCCCACCGGGATTCGAACCCGGGACCTCTCGAGTCGGCGACAGCCATGAAACCCGGCGTACAAACCACTCGGCCACGGAGGTCATGACGAAACTATAAGGGTTCCTTGTCAGGACCGACTGAGGAACCCTAAATATCTTTCCCTAAGGGTGAGAAAATATGGGTTAATGTTCATTCACAGATTTTGATGCCGAGTTGTATATTACAAAAAAATATAGTCACAAATAAATAATTATAAAATAAAAACTTTTAACAAAAAACTTAAACCGCCGAAAAGTAAAAAATAAAAAGATGGTGTTAGAAACCTAAATATGATTTTTGATTATCTAGACAGTGATACCCCACTCGACATATTTTGTCAACTTATTTTTTTTACTTCGTCACAATATGGCGCCTAATTTTGCCCATATTGAATTTTGATTACTATCATATCTTTAGTAGCACTCCCATGATTAAGACGAATCGATTGATGTATGAATCATCAAAATCGGTCCAGGCGTTTGGTCTCTAGTGTGCCACAAAGGAACAAACATACATATATAGACTGTTAAACACATAACCCTGTCTGCGCGTCGCGCTTCGCGCTCTTGCATTGCGCAGCCGGGTAAAAAGACTTTTTTTTTCTTAAGTCAAATGAATATTTGGAGTCGGTGCCATGGATGTCAGATAGATCTGAGTTCCCCTTTACTACTAGGGTTGGCATGGCACCTACTACAAATATTAATATGTCTAAAGATAAAAAAATATTATAATTTTTGACTTTGCGCCATTTTTTTTTGTTATGATACGTTGACATGAATATGATGTTTAATACTTTTATAAACAGTAAAGAAAAATATTATCAACCATACAGAAAATTGCGATTCCTATTCAACTGGAAAATTCGCTTTGCCCTATCGAGTTTTTGTCTTTATAAATGTGTGAAAATAAATAAAAAATCTTTAATTACATTAATTATAATTTATTTATAATTGTTTCGTGATTTCAAATAAGTAGATAATGTGTACAAATAAAGACTTTAAGTGGCAATAAATTCGGTAGAAACAATAAAAATGTGTTAATTTTTACTATAACGCGAAATTATTACGTTAACCTTTTCTAGTTGTAAACCACTTTGTGTCATTTCATGACCACACAAAACTAAAAAAATATCGTCATTTAGTCATAGTACAACAGACTATTATTTATGACTCATAGGAATTTTCTCACATAAAAAAAAATATTTACCTATTTACAAATAAATAGTGGCCGGTTTTTATTAATAACATATTTTATTATTAATAAATAATACAATAAACAACTTAAACTAGATTACAGTGTTATTGTTATCTCTATAATGATTGAATCGAAATTATATTTACAGTTTTTAATATACAATTCCCTTTACTAGATATACAGGATGGTCCAACTAGTGACGTCAACATTTTTATTTAGATTCCTCGCACCTGGGGGTATCCGAAAATATCCCATGATTGTTCCGCGATTTTGCTTAGTTTACGAGTTATATTTTTTTTGTATTTTTAATGATTTCTGACAGCAAGGTTTCAAAAATTCATATCTTTTTCGTAGTCGTGTTTTGCAGTCTTTTTTTTGTGACATAATTGTCTTGAATGTTGTTTTAATAAAAAAAATAACTCAGCTTCCTGAAATTACTTATCTTACTCAAAAAAGGCTTGAAAGTTGGATCTTTAGTTTTTAGTAGGATTTAGTCAAACATTCAACTTCAATTTAAAAATACAAAAAGGAGTTTCCATAGCTTCTGGTTAAGTTTAAAAACTCCGCATGCTTCTATACTAACAAAGAACATAAAAAAAATAGTACTTAATCAGCCCATTTTTGTGGGCGTGTCTAGACTAGTTGGACTAGTTGGACCAACCTTATATCTAAAGAAAATATTACTAGAAAATTCCACGCGGACCAGGCAGCAGACGGGACTCGAACCCGCATCCTACGCTATCCGGGCGAATTCACTGACCATTATGCTACCGCGGCCCTGACGGCCGTGTCGAATTTTTTCTAGCCTTTCTTAAGCAATATATATATATTGAATTTACGTTGAGTATCTAACAGATGTATTTACTATGAGGAAAATGATTTTAACATATATTTATAAGTAGGTGACTGAAATATATATGAAATAAATAAATATTTTTTTGTATAAATTGTGAACTTTATTATCATACTAATACTTTCGCTGATATATAATAATATATACAAGTTTGCTGAGGTACAAAAGTATTCCTATCTATTCAATAATAAAATAACTCTAAACACAGATATGTAGTTATGGTTCACACCACCTTTTCAATTTTCTTCTGAGTTGTACTATCTGAAACCGAAACAAGCGAATATGATAATGAAGAAGAAGGTATATGTTACACAGGTATATATTAGTACATATATATTTTCCATTTCAACTCAATTTCACGCGACGGACAGACGGACAGACGGACAGACGGACAGACGGACAGACGGACAGACATACAGACGGACAGGCGGACAGACGGACAGACGGACAGATGGACAGACGGACAACAAAGTGATCCTATAAATGGTGCGTTGTCCTTTGAGGAAGCTAGTATAATTCCTAGACAAAAACTCATTGACTTGTCCAGTCGAGAATTTCTTTGGAAATATTGAGTTGAATAATTTGTACATTGTCAAGCATTGATCTATGACTTGCGACCCATCCGTGTGATGACAACATTTTCTTTGGGAAAAATAACAACATCTGAAAGCCACTAGATGTTCCCGGAGTCTTTGAGCTAAGTCGTCCATAATTTTATCTTAATTTTTAACCAGTGCATCCCCTGAAGTGCAGGACTTTTGATTTTTAACTTAAGAAATAATTTGTATGTGTATACATCAGTTTCATTAAAAGAAAACCTTTAATATTTCCCAGTATTGTTTAAAAATTACATAAACAAGTTGTTTGAATAAAATATACAGGGCGTCCCACGGCAACCTCACACGGAGGGAAAGTATATTAAATATTGAAGGTAGGATATTTTACTGAAAGAAGACATCATTTTATTTTTAGTAATAACGAGAACTGCAGATTTTTTTTAAATCGCCTGTTACAAGTAGGAATCAAACTTGTGAAATTTCGAAAAAAAAAACACAACTCATTTTATGATAACTATCGAAAGGGTAATCATATATGCATTATTTTTTGTTAAATAACATAGCATTTTAAATGAAAGGAATGTCGTATTACGTGATAAAAATAATAAAGTGTTTTTCATACTGAAGTACGTATGCTTTCTTTTTGAACTCACAGTTATAATGCGATGGGCTGAAATTTATAAAAATTATAATTCGAAAATGGAACACATAAATTTTCAAGCGTCTGTTCTTTTTTTGGGTTTCATTTTCGTTTATTTGCATGTTTTTTGTTATTTTATTTACCATGGCGTATAAAAATAAAATGGATTTAATGGAAGCTTACTTAATGAAACACAAAGACATATTAGCTTTTCAAATTATATATATATATTATATGCTATATATATGCTTTTATTATACCGCAAAAAATATCCTGATGGAGACGTATCTTCTCGATATGTGCTTAAAAGGTTAGTGGATACTGAAATTTAGGACGTTTTGATATGCGCTTACAGAAACCACAACAGCGGATGATAAACACCAACGATGATGAACTCAACATTTGAACTTACTTTGAGGCGTATACGAATGTTAGTTTGTGTAAAATAATTTTAAATAAAATGTTCAATTTAATTACTTTTCTTTCATTTAAAATGCTATGTTATTAAGCAAAAAATAATTTCGATGGTTATGATAAAATATGTCGTTTTTTTTCGAAATTTCACAAGTTTGATTCCCAGTTGTAACAGGCGATTTAAAAAAAAGTGTGAATGCAGTTTTATTTATTATTAAAAATAAAATGATGTCTTCCTTCATTAAAATATCCTATCTTCAATATTTAATATACTTTCCCTCCGTGTGAGGTTGCCGTGGGACGCCCTGTATATATTTGAATGTATAAAAAATCTAAAGATAACTAATACTGACTGTATGATCGTCACTTAATTTTTATAGAACAATAAAAGGATCTTGTTCACTGTTGTCAAACATTTTTATTTACCTCCCACACAATACAGTGTAAGGCGCCTTGGCTAGATAATAAAATCTTTTGAGTCTCATGCGAAGCCCTGATATAGCCGGTGGTAGCAAAAAGTGCTACAAAAGGAAGGTGGAATATATATGCTAGAAACATCTTCCAATACCTTTAGTGTCCTCTGATTCGGGCTCGTTCCATGCCTGGGTCTCGCACGTGCCGAAGACGACGAAAATCAAATTCGCGACGAAGTATATCACTGATGATAGGTAGAACACCGTCCTCCATTGCGTTACGTCAGTCTAAGAAATAAAAAAAAATCTAATACACATACACATATAATTATATCGTCGTCATAATATCTATTGCTAGTATTCAATTAATATATATATACATGTATATATATATATATATACTATACAAGCAAATGTGTTATAAAATAACTTTGTAATCATTATAGTACACTTTTATTTTTTAATTTATTAAATAACTATGGAATAGGCTATGGTCGTAGGCTGAATGTAAAAAAAGAGGCGAAAGCATATTTATTTATTTATTTGATGTTCAAACAGGTGACAGACATTCAGTACAAAATTATCTATTAATATACAGGGTGTGACAAAAGTCCGAAATAAAACTTTAGGGTTTGGTTGTGTTCCTTGTATAGTTACCTACGAAAGTTTGACGCCTTTCAGACCACTTTTATTTTCCAATTAAATTAATAAAAATATCATTTTACACCTGCCTATGATAACCCTATAAATGCGTACGATTACTACTACCTAAACATACCATCCTCTCTCCCCCAGGCGCCCCTGTGCCCCGCTCAGATACCTACACATTTTTATTGAAGTGAAACTTCTTTATCGGCGTTGGAAAAAAATTTACCGTCACATTTTTCGGTTACGCGTCACATTTTTCCTTTAGGCGCCATCTTTTTTTATATTAATAGTTGATAGCTGAATGATCACACTGTCGCCGGCGAGAACTCTCTCTACTCGTTTGTAGCTGAGTGACAATAGTAATTAAAGATAAGACTCGCTCATCCAAACTCGCATAGCGATACTCGCTCAGCGATACTCGCTCGGTGATACTCGCTCAGCGATACTCGCTCAGCGGTACTCGCTCAGCGATACTCGCTCAGCGATACTCGCTCAGCGATACTCGCTCAGCGATACTCGCCCAGCGATACTCGCCCAGTGATACTCGCTCAGCGATTCTCGCTCAGCGATACTCGCTCAGCGATACTAGCTTAGCGATACTCGCTCAGCTATACTCGCTCGGTTAAGCTGGCTTGGCTGTCAAAAGCCGTGCGCGTGCATTTTAACTCAGGACTGCCAATTCGTTTCTAGTTTCTACTCGCTTATCGTTCATCGTCGGAGGTGGAACATGTGCCTTAGATTACTGAGCCGTGTAATCATAACAGTTTCATAGGCAGTAATTTGTATTCATGTCTATGATAATAAAATCCTTTTGTTTAAACTTTATCTAATTTAACTTTATTTAACCAATTTCTGGAAAGTTGCATGTAGATCATTTTTCGAAAAATAAGGCCATAAAGAAGTTTCACTTCTTACGTGTGTACACTAGTACACGCACACATTTTTTTTCGGAATACATACCTGCAAATTTTATTTTGGTATTCTGTAACAGCCTGTATATACATATGCTAGCAATAGATATTATGACGATATATGTATATCGACCCTTCCAGGATGAAACGTAGTAAAAGCCAAAACGATATTTTTCAATACGGCCAAAAAACAAAAACGGTGAAGTTTGTTTCCCGTATATTTTTTGATTTGCTTAATTTATAATAAACCACTGTAACTCATTAAGCTTAGGTTTTCGGGTTGCTTACTAATAAGAAACTCGGAATAGCCTACATTCATTAGTTCCAGAGATGGCATGGCTTTTACTACAAAAAAACAAGTTGTAAATGGTTTCTACGACATTTTATTTCTGCTTGGCAAATGTAATCTTTTTTCCTTGAAGTTGTATAAGACTTCATAAATTGTTTCATTAAAGGGATTTTTGAATTAAAAGACAATTGTAATAAGAATAAAGTTTAATTTAGTGAAGTAAATGCAACTAAGTGCACGGCCTATTGCCCATCGCACCGCTCCCCGTCTGCTGCGGAAGGACTGCGCAGTTCCCCTCGCAGGCCCTTCCGCGGCCCTCTCATGTAGGTTAGGTACAAAAGATAGCTGACGCCACCGAATCCATCGGTGGCTGGCACGGCTAACGCCATACCGCCGGGCAGCAACTGATTCAATTAGATAGGGTCACTGCACGTGCGCAGCCAGGGCACACCTTCGCCTTCCCGTGCCTGTTCTTTTGCGGTGGCAGGGGACGGCCAGAGGATTGTCCTCCTGTCCCCCCTCGGCCTCCTCCTACTTTGAGATGACGTCGTCACAGTGAGAGGCGACTTCTTCCAAGCCGTCTCACTACTGTGCATAGCCTCGACCATGCTCGGCAGCGAGAGAGAGAACCTACTGTCCTAGGTAAACAATTCAACACGACCCTGCTATTGAAAACACGAATTTTGGGGCCCACAACTAAAGCCAACAAGCCGTACTTACGTCTAAGTAACGTCTAGAACTTCGTTTACATAGAATATTGGTTTCTTCTACCATCACATCCACATACATCCTTTATTTTTTCACTCCTTGTAATAAAAAAACTGTGATTAATCGAAGCCTTTTCCGAAGTCCCTAGTATGTCTACATCAAAATTGTTAGTAGTATCGTGTCTTTTACTACAAAATTTTCAATAGTATTATTTTCCAGTACTGTATTATATATGTTGTATTGACCGTGGAATGATAAAATATGTCTCTTACTACATAAATTTGAAAAAAGTATTTCCAAAATTGCTCATTATAACATTTTACAAGAAGAAAAATGGGTTCAGGGCATGAATTGGAGCGTGTTGTAAAAGACATTTTTTCGCGAATTTGAACATTTTAAATATACAGATCGATAGAGCTCGCGATTCTGATAAAGAAACCGTTAAAAACAGATTTTGGGTAAAATGGCTTTTACGACGTTTCATCCTGGAAGGGTCGATATATATATATATATATATATACATTTATATTATGATTTGGCTGTTGCTTAGCATGTCAAGCACTCGTATGTACATATTAAAGTTTATTATTACATCCTTGTTTTTTGTGTGATAATGAAGATAATTTTGTACTAAATGTTTGTCACCTGTTTGTACATCAAATAATTAAATAAATATGCATTCGCCTCTTTTTTTACATTCAGCCTAAGACCATAGCCTGTTCCATAGTAATTTAATAAATTAAAAAATAAAAGTGTACTATAATTATTATAAAGTTATTTTACAACACATTTGCTCGTAAAGCGTCTCTTATTGCATTAATTTCAATATCATAATCTATCACATTACACACGCGTGCGGTAATGTAAAGTTAAACGCACGGCTTATTATGTTCCGTCTAAAAACGAACAATACTTTTTTAAATCTTAGCAAAGAGTTTTCATGTCACAAAGCCAACATTTTCTTAATAAAATTAACTTTGGGAGATAAAATATAATATATAAACATTTAATTCTTTAATTTGATTCATTTTGACAATAAATTACAACCATGTATCGGTAACAAATTCACAAAAATATTAATTTACTTTATTAGTAACACTGACTGTTTTTTGTTCCTTAGCCTAAAAAAAGCGTTGATACGCGCGCATCGCTAATCTGTGAAAAAGTTATTTCTTTTTCTTTTCGCTGTATTGTTTATATTTGAAAATATTGTCTATGTAGTAACGAATTTATTAATTTGACACCGCCAGAAGTCGAAAAAGGCTGAGCTAAGCCTCTTGCCCGAAAAATCCACGGATACTTACAGTCAAGCGTATCAAAATTTCATCTTATGGAAAACAAACAAAGATGCAAATTCATTTTCAGATTATTTATTATGTATAATATATTTTCAGAATGTACGTAGGCAGTATTATTTCCTCGCAAATGTGTTATAAAACGTCGTATGATACGTGCGGTTTGATAATTACAGCCTCTGCCTTCTTATAGCCTACAATATCGCCTCGGCTGTAATTCTCAACTTATCGCCCTTATATCACAATGTACTATTACGATCTTAGATTAAAACAAAACGGGTAGATACGGCACTAGCCTCACAAAAGTGATCCGCACCAATTGTGGTCCACGACCCTATTCGCTTTAGTCACAACTTGACATGCAAACGACGTACATGTGAACGCCAAAAAGAAATATTGCTAATATTTTGTGTTTATATGATAAAACAATGCCTAAGTGTGTTTTCAAAAAGTGCTCAAATTGCTCAAGAACTAAAAATAAAACCCACGGCATCACTTTTCATTCCTAAGTACTATAAAATATATCATTTTCATAAAAATTGCTGTTTGTTTTGAATCTTATTCGGTAGTGACGTCGAGTACTGGTCGCCTGATTGGTCGGTAATGCAGTGACGCGGATCTCGCCGTCCCGTTCGCGCTGCCGTGGGATCAGTTTTAGTTTGATGCAAGTATGAGCGTACCGTATCTATCCTTTTTGTTTTAATCTAAGATTACGATACAGCTAGCAGTACTATATTAAGGTTTATTTTGAATTTTATGTATGTGCGTTTATAAAGTACGTCTTTATAAAACCATTTTAAATTCGTAATTCGAATATTTCGTCATGAGTGTAAATAAAATATTTTACCTGGTCGGTGAGAATGACGCCGGCTACAAGCGGTGCTATTATGGAGATCGTGTTGGCGATACAGTTGGTGATGCCCATCAGAGTACCGGCGAAGTTGGGTGACATATCGATGTGGACCAACTATCAGACAAGATACAAGTTTGAACCATTCAATTTTTAACTAAAATCAATTTGCAACAAAGGAGACTCGGCACTTTTCATAGAAAAAATGCTAAACTTGTATACAATTCAATTTGGTCTCAAAATAAAGGCAAAATTATTTGCAACATAAAACTAGTTTTGATTTATTTTTAGTGAATCGTGAAAAGAAGTTCTTTATTTATTCTTTATTGCATGCCACAGATAGTACAAAAAACAACATTAACATAACCTGTACAAACATGTGACACCCTGCAAGGGCGTTGCAATTTTACTTAAATTATTATTATTATTATTTAAACAAACAATCAAATATATTATAAAAAAAAAATGGTTGCCTGTAAAGTCGGTTTTACGGGCGAAGATTTTACGTGACAACGTCATTTTCTCGGTAGAATATTTATTGATATGAATATAATTAAATTGCACAATAGGAACAAGGAATTGAATGAAAATAAGAATTGCACAAATTTTAACTATAGAAATATATTTTGTTTACTAAAACATTGTACATGTAAACTTAAACTTAACACGAGAGACTCATCGTAACGTTACCGAGCGTTACACTTTTTCATAAGTGACTCCCAGCCGCAACCTAATTTAAGACGTTGTCACGTCAAAATTCAATTCAATTATTAAACATGCATCTTACCAAAATCTTACCAAAGTTATATAATGATTAATATTTTTTGATATGGAAACCCTAAATCTTCAAGGGACGGAATTTTACTTCAAAATATTACTCAGGTGACTGTAAAAACCATTATTCCTTTGCTTTTTCTAAATAAAAAACCAAATGTCAATTTGACAATCCTAAAATACAAACAAAAAAAATCATTCGCATTTCGCATCCGCTCCCGCGTACTGTGATTGTGAATGTTCTCTGCTGTGATTGCCTTTTTATCCGTTAATTCTCTTGACGACCCGGCTACATAATAGAGGTTATATTGACAAAACTACGTATTTGACATTGACAGCTAGTTGCTGATGACAAATATTGCCACCCTACGTTACTACGAAACACAGATAAAAAAAAATTAAAAAGTATACAACTTTGGCACAAAATGCCGGGTGTCCTTTCAATAACGTTTAATTCAACTGTTGGGGTTAATTGCTCTTAAGGAAGTCATAAGGTACGCCCTGCGGGAGGGAAGAACTAGCCCCGCATTATAAATGGCTTCCCATCGAGTTAGGGAGTGATGCCCCTAGAGAGAGACGGACGGATTCCTCTAAACGGGTCGAGTCCAAAACGTCCCGCGGTTCGTGCCCACAAGTGTTTGTGGGCCACAATTGTGTGCCCACAATACACACAAGGGAGTTAGTGCAAAGAGAAGGGTCCGAGAGGGCGCTTTCACGGTTGGGGGTCTGGGACAAAGACTTCGCTGATACCCTTCCCCCATCGTGTGAAGATGGAACCGCAGGAGGTGTTTTTAGTGGGTAGTCACGGCGCGGTGTGAGGAATATGCCCCGTGAAGTCCCACATACCCCCACGGTAGGGCACGGTCGTGGGAAGTGCGTAAATGCATTTTCACCTTCCCAAAAAAAAAAAAAGTCATAAGGTACGCCATCGGTTCGTAAATCGATTAAGATAGTATCTGAATGCGTGTTGTTTACCAAATAGCCAGTGTAGTGTCCAGCATTCAAGCCAACGACGGCTGTCAAAATGGCAACCGCTATGGTGGCGTCAGCCGGGGCATACGACAGCCCTATGAGGGCCAGCGCCGGTCCCCATTGACCTGTACAATAAATAAAATAAATAAATTTAAATTTTCATGGTTACTACTAATAGTACTACTAAAAGTAACTAGTACTAGAGTTCTGCCCTGATAATTATACTTGGAGTACCAAATCGTCATTTTTGTGATTTTCATTTTTTTGCAAAAAATACTTTTTTTTTTATGTTATAGGTGGCATACGAGCAGACGGCTCACCTGATGGTAAGTGATCACCGTCGCCCATGGACACTTGCAACACCAGGAGTATCACAAATGACATCCCAAAGATGTCTTTCTATACGTTGAAAAACATATTTAAAATTAAAAATATATTAATATTGAACATAAAAAAAAATAAACAAAAAAATGTTATAAATTTTTATTTCATCCGTTTTAGTGAAAATGAAATCGTCCAAGTAAACAATAACACAATTGACGGAAAAATCGGTGAACATGCATAGAAAACATCGCGCGTGCCTTTGCGATTTGAAGGTTTCCCTCGATTTCCCCGGATTCCACCATCAGATCCTGACTTGGTTCCAATGGGACCACCTCGGAAGTGCACTCTTTCGAATAAAAAAAAGAATTTTGGAAATCGGTCCACAAATCGGTGAACATACATAAAATAAAAAATATACAGTCGAACACAGAACCTCCTCCTTTTTTGAAGTCGGTTAAAAACTGTACTTATTACTGCAAAATCACATGCGTGTTATGGGCTTGAAACCGGTTTCAAAAATACCGGTAAATAAAGGTTAATACCGGTTTTTAGTGAAGGTTTCGTTCGGAGTGCGTCCGAAATGAAAGCGGTACCTAAAACCTTAATAAACCGGTTTAAGCCAGTGCGACACGTGCAAGTGTTGGCATCGCTTTAAGTTTGTTTTGTTTAAACTAATTAAATCACAACTTGTTAATGCTCAGAGATTGATGCATTTATTGACACGTTGGCTAATGTCTAGTGAGTCAAGTTATTCATTTTGTAGTTATTATATTATTATTTCAGCCGTCAGTAAGAGCGAAATAAAACCCTTTAAAAAACGATTTGATTTCGCTTTTTAGGAAAACCGGTTTTTTTAAGGTTAAGGTAGAGCCAAACCTAAATAAAACGCTCCTAATGTACTTGACACTGATTTAGGTTTTAAAATTAACCGGTAAACAAACCCTGATAACACGTGCTCGATACTGGGTTTGTAGTTAGCAATCCTTTTGCTATTTCCGTTTAACGCGAATGCATTAATGGTGAATACTGCGTTTAGTTTTAGCGTCGCGAGAATAGTTCTTTGTTATTCTTGCTACACTCAAATGCAGTAATGGTGAATACTGCGTTTCGTTTTAGCGTCGCGAGAATAGTTCTTTGTTATTCTCGCTACACTCAAATGCAGTAATGGTGCATACTGCGTTTAGTTTTAGCGTCGCGAGAATAGTTCTTTGTTATTCTTGCTACACTCAAATGCAGTAATGGTGAATACTGCGTTTAGTTTTAGCGTCGCGAGAATAGTTCTTTGTTATTCTTGCTACACTCAAATGCAGTAATGGTGAATACTGCGTTTTGTTTTAGCGTCGCGAGAGAAGTTCTTTGTTACTCTTGCTACACCAAATGCAGTAATGGTGAGTACTGCTTTTAGCGTTAGTTATCTGCTAAATGAATATCCAGTAAACGTAGCAAGTATTGCATAATCTTCTAGCACATACTCAATGCTGCAGATCTTTTTAGCACAAGTAACATTTAGGTGCAAGTACTGCGTTTAACCATCATCACCAGCCTATTAATGTTCCTACTGCTGGGACACAGGCCTTCCCTATGGATGGATTAGGGAGATTGGGCATTGACCTACCACGCGGGCCCAGTGCGGATTGGCAGGTGCTGACTTCTGCTGATGCAACCGGGACCGACGGCTTAAATTGCCTACCGAAGCACGGAGGAGCTCGAGATCATAAATTTTCGGTCACCCATCCAATGACCGACCACTGCGAAGTTGCTTGACTTCAATGATCAGCCGAGCGCGCTGACCACTTGCGCTATCAAGCTCCCCTTTATTTTAAACTAAATACATTTCCTATTCCCCGTACGGGAGTTTACCTCGACTATAGTTGTGAAATATGCTTCTTGCTACAGTTTTCCTTGGAGGTTGTTATCTAAAAGTGTGTGTAAAGGTTTTTTAGGAATACAGATTCTGTTATTCGTGAGTGATCCTTCTAATAAACACAGAGTATGTACTATATGCTATATGGTTAAACAAACGATATATAAGAAAACATATAAATCCATGATTGAATATTCAGTCAATCTCTCTTCTAATATATAAAATTCTCGTGTCACAGTGTGCGTAATTGAACTACTCCGAAACGGCTCGACCGACTTTCGTGAAATTTTATATGCATATTCAGTAGGTCTCAGAATCGGACAACATCTATTTTTCATCCCCCTAAATGTTAAGGGTGGTCCACCGTTACATTTTTATTTTTTGGACATTTTTTTTATAATACATCATACAAAAATATATACAAATGTAAATTTCCAACCTTCTACCACTAACCCTTATTTTTTTATGGCGGTACGAAGTTCGCTGGGACAGCTAGTCTAAGTATATAAGTGACAATGATGATGACACATATAAAATTTAGGAATCTGTTAGGTATGATTTTATGTTTTTAAGCATTTAACTGCTAGATGTTTAAATCTAAGGAAAAGTTTTACTAGAAAAAAATCCACGCGGACCAGGCAGCGGACGGGACTCGAACCCGCACCCTTCGCAATCCGGGCGAATGCACTGACCAATATTGCCTTGCAGCTTAAGGCTAGGAAGATTTTGACGCGGCCATCAAGGCCGTGGTAGCATAATCGGTCAGTGCATTCGCCCGGATTGCGAAGGGTGCGGGTTCGAGTTCCGTCCGCTGCCTGGCCCGCGTGGATTTTTTTCTAGTAAAACTTTTCCTTAGATTTAATCTGTTAGGTACCTCTAAATTGCAATTACTAGATGTTCGTCTTACCAACGGAATTGGATATTTTCCTGCAAGCGGTGATACTGAGCCACTTCTTCTTGAGCGTGTAATCGGAAATGAATCCTAGTGGGAAACTCATCAGATACATGGCCAAGTAAGGAAGCGCAGACATGACACCGTTCTGAAAGTGATAAACATTTATGAAATTACTGCAACAAAACGGATTTGGTATAAACGTTTACTGTAATAGGGGTGATGACGGGGTACAGTAAACGAAATTCTATTTAGTCCGTCAGTTAGATGATCAAAAAATAATGGACACGTATTTTTTCTTTGGGCAATCAACCAAAAAATGACAAAGTTATAGCGCGTCAAAGTTTGGGAGTAGAGGCTCGTGACGTCACTTTCAACTAACTAACTAAATTAATTCCCTTGTTTCATTAATGTTCGTTCGTTATAGTACTTGTAACTATTTAACTTAAAATAACTAAAGAACCACGGGATGGTATTTGATGCTCTTTGACACAGATGATCATGACTATAATATCTTTTAAACAAATGTAGTTTAAGCCGTAGCGGACGTAGGTGCAGCGTCCATACATTTTTGCCCATTGTCCTTTGAATCAAGAATAATGGATTCTTATAGAAGCTACTAACCCTTTATTTTATTTATTTATTTATATTTTATATAGCCAGGTAGGCAAATGACTCTACCCCACCTAATGTTAAGTGGTGATAAAGGCCTCTCTTATAGGACCCCAGATTGTAGGAAGGAGGGAACACATGCGCGGGCAAAGAATTCCACTTACGAATAGTACAACAAAGAAATGAGTCACCAAATATCTTTATTCGTGTAGGAATAGTGGCCACTGTAAGCCGGTGACCACGTAGGCCAGCGCGCGTGGTCCTCTGAAGAAAAGGTGATGGAAGGATAAGGGAAGAAATTTTAATAGCCCTAATAATAGAGAGGATGGCAAACTTTTTTTTCTCGTCTATCAGGTAGATTATCAAAAAGTATTAGACACGTATTTTTTTCTTAATTCGTATCATAAAAGTATTACAAAGATAAATTGATTTGAAATGTCGCACGAAGTCATGTCCTTAGTACAATTTTCACTTAGACGCGCCTTTTCTTTGGTTTTTGGTTGATTGACAAAAGAAAAAACATATGACTGTGTCTATTATTTTTTGATGATCTGACGGACTAAATAGGAATTCTTTTCATTTACTCCATCATCTTTCCTATTGCTCACCGATTTAATATCAACTCCCAGCACTTGCTTCATATAGGAAGGTATTTCAGTCATAAGTGTCCAAAAGCCCCAGTTGTGTCCGCAGTGTGCGATGATCAGCGACACGAACGGCACCGAAGTCCAGATCGCCTTCCACGGCGTTTTCAGTTTCTGTCAGATCATCGTTCAAACCATTAGTTTTAATATAAATATTTATAAAATGGAAATTGTAAGGAGCCCGATGGCGTAGGTCGTTAGCGCGTTCGGCTGCGATCGTTGAAGTTAAGCAACTTTCGCAGTGGTCGGTCATTGAATGGGTGACCGAAAATTTACTATCTCGAGCTCCTCCGCGCTTCGTAGTGAATGGTGGCGTGGGTATAGGGCAAGTATAGCAAATACAGTATAGGTATAGCGCGACTTCAAGCGGATCGAGCTCTATGACGTCATAACGAATGGACTGATTTCGATGATTTAAAAACTATATTGATGAAAAAGCTTATTGGAATAGTACTATGGTTTTGAGTTGATTTGTTGACTTGGAAATGATCCGCATTCATTCAAATTGTATTATTAAAAGCACTTTTGAATCCTTCCTCCCACTTACATTATAAATGTGAAAGTTTGTATGTTTGTTACCAACGGATTTGGATAGAATTTGGTACGCATATACCTTACAGGTCATAAATTCAGTCACATGTTTAATATAAAATAATTGAAACAAGTTTATTCATTATGTAACCATTTATATACCAAAATGAACTTAACAGAACATATATTCTTATGCAATAAAGTTTATTCAAATACCTCCGTGATTTTGAATACAGGCCTTCAATCTGCGCGGCCAGTCGTCTATCGCAGCACGAACGAGATCCATGTCAATATCGGCGGCTGCCTTAATCAAGGATGTCTTGAGTGACTCCAAATTGGGATGAGGCTTTGAGCACCCCTTTTCCTCCAAGTGTTGCCATATCATGTAATGTAACGGACTCAAATCTGGACCGGAGGAGGGCCAGTCTTCGTGCCGGATGAAGTCGATTTCACGCGCTGCCAGCCAGTCTTGTGTGCTCTTCTCTCTATGAGCTGGCGCCGAATCTTGTTGGAATACCCAGTGCCTGTTATTGAAGGTTCGTCAGGATTGTATTTTGATACACAACTGCATTAGTTTTTACACCTCCCTCACAAATATGTACCTCTGTTAAGCCCCTATAAGAAACTCCCAACCATACTATGAGCGAGGATGGAAAATGACCTCGTTGGACACGCGGAATACGGTTGCTCGCTTCTTGACTACTGTGTGCGTACACCTTATTATTTTGTTTGTTGTAGCTCTCTTCTACGGTGAAATTTTTTTCATCCGAAGAAAGAATTTCCCGATATTTTTTTCCCGCGTACCGCTTCAACAAAGCGCAGCATCTCTTCAGTCTCAGGTCCATTAGAAGAGCATTCAAACGATGTCCTGTTTTTCTTCGATATGCCCGAAGCCCTAGTATTCATTTAACACCTTTTTCACCGTGGTTCTGCTTAACCCCATCTGAAGGTACAACAGTTTCTGCTTACGTTTGGGATTTCTTTGAATTCGCGCCTTCACAGCTTTTATCACTGCTGGAGTCCTACAAACCGAGGACGACCACTTCTTGACCTGTCATCTACACTAGAGTCTTCATTGTATCGTTTAATGGTACGATAAACGAATCTTTTGGTTATATTCAATTTTTTCAGTATGTCAAAAATTTGAATTGGCGCGTAACCGCAACGATGCAACGCAATAACTGCAACACGGTCTTCTTTAAGCGTTCACTCCATATTTAAAAATGAGTAAAATTGTAAAAAGTATACATCATTAATTTCATGAAAAAATCGAAATTTGAATTCAATAAACTTTTTTGTGGCCAGCATTCTAAAAGAAAAGTTTTTACTGTGTGAGAATACTTATGACCTGACTGTGTAGTTTATGAGCTAGATTGAGACAAAGAATATATATATCAAAAAACCGGCTAGGGCAGCCGCTTGAACTTTATTAAATTTTATCACCTTTTGCTCGCCAACATGTCCAAGCGAGGTCTCGATGTAAAGCTTCTCTTCTTCGCTGATGATGCGCGAGGTTTTCGGTGACGCTGACCCGATGAACATGTAGATGACGGTCCACACGACGCCTAGAGTACCGTTCACGTAGAAGATGGCAGGCCACCCCCAGTACTGGGCTATATATCCCGATGCTATGAGTTGGAGCGCTGTGCCTAGCTGAGCACCTAAAATTGATAATGACACTTTTATTGTCGATGCTATGATGCAACATTTTTTTTAATTTAAAGGCTTTTCTTCTTTTCAGTGCGTATGCTGTTGGTTCCAGATGACCTTTACAGCGTCATCGGGTTTGGGGACGGCGAGATCCTAAGGGGACCCCAAGTCGAAAATTGGCGAGTGCCTCTAGAGGTATTCCAGGTGGATGGCATCTCCCCACGGGGGGAGTCTCCTCTCCGTGTGGAGCCTCTAGACCACGAGCACCTGAGGGGGTCGGCTCAACTAGAGGGCGTCTCTGAGACTCGGACCTCGGCTCTAGTTAGCCGTTGTCGTGTCGGGGGGTATTTAGAGGTGTCGTCCTTATTGGAAGGGATTGTGCGATGCGAGCTCGTACGTCGGTTTACGAGCTGTATTAAAATACCTCTGAAGAAATGTGTATGTTTGAAAATCATCGCACGACAAGAACGCTTCGTGTCATCGTAATATCGTACGTATTGCCAATTAGGACGACGCAAGAAAACCTGAAAATATAACATAGTAATAATGGCCGATGGTTAATTTTTTTATTGACAATGAATATTAATAATAATTTATTGGCACCAAAAATTATTTTTGTACACAGAATTTTATAAAATTTTACAATAATAGAAGAATCAATCAACTGTATAAAAATACATCTGAGCCTGAACTAGGAGACCTGTATCTCAGGTGCAGCGCTCTTTATAAAAAATACAAGCTGTTTTATATACTCAACGCATACAGACATATTTTCCAGAGAAGTAACAAAATAATAAGTTTAAAGTGTAGCGAGTGAAATCTGTCATGGTGAGTATAGTGAATATGAGTGTGTGTGTGTGTGGAGAGGTTGTGTAAAATTGATATATTTATTACCAGAAATAAAATCATAAACAGTCTACATTGTCTCCCCCATTCATAGTTATTTGTTTAATTATTGCTATTGTGTAAAAAAATTCCAATCTAAGAAATTCTTAATAAGAAATTTGCATATTCTTAAAAGAGTATTTTGTTTTTCCATTTCCTGTGGTGATAAAAATGTTGATTCTAAAGACTGACCAGAGTAAATGATGGTTCCTAAGCGGCTTTTTTCTTCCAGCGGTATCCATTTTCCTATTATATTATGCATCGATGGAAACAGGATTCCTTGGGCCAACCCTTGCACAACCCGACAGGCACAAACTAACTGCCATCCTCCCTGGAAACATTCAAAATATAATCAAAATCCAAAATCACTTATTCAGTCCAGGCTGCTACAAGCACTTGTGAAGGTAACGAAGCTACGCCATCGGTTCGCAAAACTACGGCGGGAGACCTTGTACTGAGAAAAACCGGCAAGAAACTCAGCAAAGTGTTGTTTTTTTTTTGGAGTTTACTCCTTAAGAATCGATTTGCATAAAAGGGGCCCGGTATGAGAAAAATGTGAGGAGTAAAATCTATCGATGAATGACTTCGTTACGTTATTGGTGCGCATCCTATGTCGCGCAACTTTGACAAACAAAGATGACGGAATGATATTAATATTTTTTTTTAAATCTGAACTGAATTTAGATATTGTTTCTGATAGAGCAATGGGGACAACGAGGTATGGTACAACCATTGATGCGGTATTTTCAAGATTCGTGAACCAGTTATCTACGAACGTCCATGTGTCTTATTTTAGTTACCATAAACCACTTGTCACTGTAATTCATAATGCAGACAATGTTGATTAAATTAATATTTAAAAAAATGATAATAGTCTGATAATAATAATTACATAATTTATCAACATTCCTAATCATATATTTATGCACATCTGAAATTGACTATTGTAAAAAGTTTAATGTAAAATATTTCGTCGATTAGTTATAATAAATGTATATGAAATGAATAAATATATATTTATATATGTATATTATTTTCGTTAATTTGTTAATTTACCCTTTCATACAGTATCAATCTTTTTTAAGTTAAATAAACTCTTTTTTCGTCTGGTTAGACTATCGAACTTAAGGAGTGAACTCCAGTCGTGCGTCGGAGCTGACACACACATTTCTTTTTCTCCCTGTATTGTTATATACAGAGTCGTCAAGTTGAAAAATGATTGACATTATTCACCGTCATAAATGAACAGACATATGTTTAAGTTTGAGGTCGGAATAGGTATTCTGTAAAGTGTAAGATGGACAGAGAGTCCATCTTACACTTTACAGAATACCTATGCTGACTAACGTTATCATTACTCTCATCTGTGTAAGAAAATGGCTGTCATACTCTTTTGGTTCCCACTCTTTACAAAAACTAATATTTTTCGAGTTCTACTGAACCTATTGTCTTCATTTATGTCTTTAAATCAATCTTAAATAGTTTCTGCAGCTATTTCCTTTTATCTATTCTATATCCAAATATGGTACCGTATACGCGTGGCAGAAATCCGCCACAGACAAGAGTTTTTTGACGTGAGCAAATTCCTTCGTTTACACAGACGATGGGTTATTCGGATTTCTGACAAAGGTCAAATATCTAATAGAGGCTACTTTTAGAGACAAAGTGACATATTGCTGTGTAATAGCATAATGCATGTAAAACTAATATCTAAAATGGCAGCTACCGAAACCGGAAGTGAGATATTATTTTACACAATCAACCAGGACTGCCCTATAAAAAGATGTTTCTAAAAGAATATTTTAGATTCATTTTAATTGAAATATGTCTGTTAACTAAGTCTTAAGTTTTATCGTCTCACTTTCTTTGTCTTGTCCAAAAAAATTGACGACACATTACCTTATGACGAAGGAACTTACATATGCAGCTCCTATTGGAACAACTAATGATGCCGCAGAGTTGATGCCGATGCAGATGGTGAAGAGGAGCTTACTGCCGACCCTGGCCGCCAGCTCGCCGCCCGGGATTTGCAGGATCACGTAGCCCCAGAAGAAGGAGGACAGGATGACGCTCTGCCGCTGACTGCTCCAATCGAACGACTGGTGAAATCAAATATCATTTGGTTATTTGCTATTTTAGACAATCATCATCATCATTAGCCTATTAATGTCCCCACTGCTGGGGCACAAGCCTTCCCTATGGATGGAATAGGGAGATTGGGCCATGACCCACCACGCGGGCCCAGTGCGGATTGGTGGGTGCTAACAACTGCAGATGCAGCCGGGACCAACGGCTTTACTTCCGAAGCACGGAGGGGCTCGAGATAGTAAATGTTTGGTCACCCATCCAATGACCGACCACTGCGAAAGTTGCTTAACTTCAACGATCGCAGCCGAACGCGCTAACCACTTGCGCTATCGAGCTCCCTTTTTAGATAATGCCCACGACGAAAAGACCCCAGTAGCCACTTGGTTTGTACGCCGGGTTTCCCGGTGGAATCCCGGTGGAATCCCGGTGAGGGCAGATGTTTGTGTGATGAATACGAGCATTTCTACTCCAATCATAGATGTTTATTATGTATTTCTATATCAATATACTTATATGTCGGCGGATGGCGTCTCACTCGCTCCTGCGAAACGTAAAACCTACAACAAATGTCATCAGTCATTGTACCATTGCTTTGTGAAACGTCAAGTTATGACAGTGACAGCTGTCATTGCTTGGGAGTGGTCTATGCTAAGGGTAGTATTTAAGGGGGTAACGCTTCATTGGAAGGGGCATTCGGCATTCAGACGTGAGCCGCGATAGTGAACGGACGTTAGCAGAGAACTCTCCACGCTTCGCAAAGCAATCCGTTTGTGCCTTTGCAATCATTGCTGATTTTGTAAAATGATTAGAAGATTCAAATTAAACGTTAGCTTGGTCACTAGACTACAGTTTTATTTTCGGGAAATATCATTGAATAACCAAGATGGCGGATCAAGATGAACCACGTGGCCAACCGCCTATATCCCACTCGCCCACTCCGACATATATATGTTTAGGTAGGCCAAAGGGGAAGATCTTCCTCCGAGCTGGGTGATGTTAGCTCGGGGGCCGCGGCCCTACTGATGTTGGTCGGGCATCGTATATATGAAGAGTTAGCCTCCGAATTTCATTTGCGCGATGTAGGCTTCCATACTATTATGAACGCAGTGCAGGTAACGCCATCTCTTGAGGATGGTGAGTAATGATTTCCTCCATCCCTTGTATATATGTGGGGCATATAGGTGTCGCCGTTGGACATTCTCGCTCCGACCGCGGACCGTGCGCCCCGTCGCACCGCCGCCTCCTTGCTCCGTGCGCCCCGCCGCACAGCTGCCTGCTCCGAGTCGACTCGACGCGCCTGCGCTCATACGTGAGATCCAAGATTGGACCAGTGGATACCTAGCGGTGTTAACGAAACTGGTCGGCGTAGCCCCGGTACGTCTCGAGCTCTCCTGAGCTCGGAAACCGGAAGACCCGATCCCATTTGCACTTGGGCCTTCCCAAGGGTGACGGTTGTTCCCATATTCACTAGGAATATCGGAACACATCTCTTACAGCTTCAACCGACCCCCTGCCGCGGGCAGGGGAGTCCATCGGTGTCGCATAGGGTGTTAGGACCTGTGGCTTCACGCCACAGTCAGGGCACACCTACACACACTTTACACCACAACCTACACATACCTACACACACTAGACACATCACAATGGACATTACTTGTCAGGTAATGTCCCTCTTCTCCGCCCTAGGCCTCACCCTGGACGAGGCCGCCATCAGGGAGCTTGTCGCGAGAGCGCGCCCCTTGCGCGACTCTCCCGCCAGCCCCTCCCCCGAACCCCCCCCGCCCCGACACCCCCTGCCTCCCCTCGAGCGCGGGCAAGCGCCCCGCCTCGAGCCCGGTCTCAACGTGCGACTCCGACTCGACCATAGTGTCGGCGTCCGACGAGTCCTTGTTCACCACGGTGGTGAGCAAAAAGAAGAAGCGGCGCTCCAAGCGCCGTGCAGACACCGCGTCTCCAACGGCGCCCCTCTCGCCTTCCGCTCTCCTGTCTCAGACAGTTGATGAGCCCTCTGTCCCTCTCACCCCTCTCACGGTCGCCCAACCGACCACCCAAACCCACCCAACACAGACACACAACACCACAAAACCACACAATAGGTGCACCGCCGCACCTATCAAGGCAAAGCCGCCGCCGCCCGTCTTCCTGCGCGATAAGGCGCAATGGGCGAAGGTCGCGGACCTTTGCAAAGCACACAACATTCATTACACACAGGCGTCGAACACTGGTCACGCCATCAAAATCACTACACCCACCATTGACACGTTCAGGAGCCTCACAAGGCTTCTGACCACAAACAAACTCCCCTATCACACTTACGCTCTCCCCGAAGAGCGCAAAGTCCGCGCGGTACTCAGAGGAGTCCCCTTCGAGCTCTCCAACGAGCTCATTCTGAGCGACCTAACCGCTCAAGGCTTCCCAGCCGAGGCAGTGCACAAATTGCACAGCCGGACTGGGAAACAATACCCGTTGGCCCTTGTCATTTTGACCTCGGTCCCGGCAGCTAGGGATATTTTCAAAGGTCCCATTACAGTCTGTGGCCTCGACAATATCAAAGTCGAGGCCCCACACCGGCGAGGCACCCCTGGGCAATGCCACAGGTGCCAATTATATGGCCACGCAGCAGCCAACTGCTCGGCGGCCCCGAGGTGCGTCAAGTGCCTCGTACCCCACCTCACCAAGGAGTGCACCCGCACTCGTGACGCACCCGGGGCACCCGCATGCGTGCTCTGTGGCCAAGAAGGCCACCCGGCCAATTACAGGGGTTGCCCGCGGGCCCCACGCCCCAGGCCCAACACTCACACTCACACACACACAAAGCCAACCACGGCGACAAAAATACACCCACCACCACCTAATAACACCACCACAAACTTCCCGGGGCTACCCAAGGCGGCCGCCCCTCGCAGCCCGGCGCCCCCGACAGCCTGGGGACCAGCCAGGGCCCGCCCAAAACCACACCCACCACAACACACCACACCAACAACACAAGCTAAGCCAGCCCAAGACGTCTCTCTGGCCGAGGACATGGCGCTTATTCGCTCCTCGCTCAAGAGGGTGAATATCGCCGAGATCCACACTCTCGCCGCGAAGCTCCGGCTAGCAAAGACACCCCTTGAAAAGGCTATAGCTATAGCCGAACACCCCGAACTCGTTGCCGCGTTCGATTAATTTTTCAATCATTATAACACTGGAAAATAACCAGACTCCGAACACAAACAAAAACACTATACACAAAACACGCGGTGATAACTCAAACAAACACCACTGTTGTTTAAATTATGACCGCGCAAAACACTAACATAACAATCACTCAACTAAACCCCGGGCGTACCAAGCCGAAAGGCGCTTCGCTTGTGTCATTTAATACGCGCAGCTTAAAGTCCAACCTTAACGAAATTAAATTATTTTTGCAAGATAGGGAACCCGACTTTCTGCTCCTTCAGGAGACTTGGCTCAAACCAACTCAAATGAAGGGGCTGTCGATCCCTAAGTATAAATTAATCCGGAACGACGGTGCCAACGCACGCGGCGGCACCGCAATTTACTATAGACGCAATTTACACTGCACACCTATACCCACTCCCGCGCTCACAAACATGGAAGCCACCATCTGTAGGCTGGCGATGACAGGACACCAGTCCTTAATCATCGCCTCAGTCTACATTAGATCAGGTACACACCCTCACCGCGCAGACTTCGAAACACTCACTTCACTAGGTACATCAGTCATAATGTTCGGTGACTTTAACTCCAAACACACCGACTGGACATGCGAGACCACCACCACCTCTGGCCGCAGATTACTACACATCACCGAGGAGCTTGGCTATGATGTCATATGTCCCTACGCGCCCACCCACTACCCAGACAATGTACAAAACCGACCCGACGTCCTGGACTTCGCGATCCTTAAAAACGTGTCGCTTCGCCTCAGCTCGATCGAAACACTCGACGACCTGGGGTCGGATCACAGACCGGTGTCTCTAGTTCTAGGTCCCCAAGACCCACTAGACGCCCCCGCGCCCCCTAAGAGGCTATTCACCAACTGGGACGGATACCGCTCCGCTCTCGAGACCGCTTTAGACTCCCCCGAGTCCCCGTTCCCTAACTCACCGGACAGTCTCGACAGCACCGACAAGATTGACGAAACTATAGAGTCTTTAACTTTACTGGTGACCGAGAAGGCGAAGGAGAACTCGCGGGAGGTTGAGCTGCCAAAGCCCAAGCTCCCGCTGGCCATCCGGAACCTAATCCAAGCCAAAAACGCCGCTCTCCGGAGAGCCAAATTATACCCCACCCCCGAGTATAGGGCTACAGCTAATCGCCTTCAGCGACAAGTTAGGTCCCAATTAGCCGCTCTGAGACACTCCCGTTGGGAGGAACTCATGGCGGACATTACCCCATCCCATCTTGCGTACTATAGAATCGCGAAAGCGCTCCGTAGCGACGTCACCACTCACACCCCCCCGCTCACTCGCCCCGACGGCACCGTCGCCTTCGAAGACGACGAAAAATCTGAGTGTTTTGCAGACAGCATAGCGGCGCAATGCACGCCTAGTACGCAGGAAACTAACCCGCAACATATTCGCGGAGTGGAGGAGGAGGTCCGCCGGCGGGCCGCCCTTCCACTCATTGACAACCCCCTAGACCCCGTCACGACAGACGAACTCAGACAGACCATTAGAAACTTTAAGCAACGCAAGGCCCCGGGCGCCGACGGCATCTCTAACAAGGCGCTCAAGCACTTTCCCATCCAAATGCTAACCTTGCTTGCAATTCTCTTTAACGCATGTTTTGATCTGTGCTACTTCCCAGCCGCCTGGAAAGAAGCAAAAGTGATAGGCATCCCCAAACCCGGAAAACCCGCGCACCTCCCCAGTAGCCATCGCCCTATTAGCCTCCTCAAGGCAATGGCGAAACTTTTCGAAAAAACCATACTGACCAGACTAAGAGAGCACCTCCTATCACCATCCGATCCAATTATCATTGACCACCAATTCGGCTTCAGAGC